CTGTATCCTTTTATCTAACTGCAGTCGCATTTGACCTCTCACCTTCGACCTCAGTGTGTTGCTGCAATAACATTTGACTTTGTTGTTTCGTGTTTAGGTGTAACAGCGATTCATCCAACAGACTTAGATTTCCCGAGTACAATGACAGACATTGATTACAACACATGGATGCTAAGGTGAGTCTGAACCAACTGATTTGAGATTTAACCTTTTCACCACCAGACTTTCTTGCCCGAATTTTTTCTGCACATTTTTCTCATATTCTTCAATATTTTTGGAAATGAATCGTAATTTTGGAGCCAACAGACAAAATTTAAGTGAATTTTCATTTTTTACTCAAAATATTTGGCTATTTTTGTTCTTCTAAAGGAAAGTGCAGACTATAAACGGTACTATTTTGTGAATTTGTGATGCAAAGAGGGAACTGGTGGTGAAAAGGTTAATCTCAGAAACTGAAAATTAGAACTAGTAATTTGACTCATTTTAGTTTGTGTGTGTGGGTTCGCATGACTTTTGAATTTCTTGTCTGGTTTTGTTCAATTAAAAACTAATTAATAACTCAAGCAGTGGTCACATGTGCACAGCAATTAGTAAATTTGTCACTGATAAAGTCATGTTAAAGCAGGAGGGTCCTCACCTGCGCACGCACGGGAATTGAGTCTCAAGCGACGATAACAACACACGCTAAAAACGCAAAGGCTCATGGGTAGATGCTTGTTTGTAAACAATGACACGCTATGGCCATCTGACGCATGCGCATGTCACACCTACCCCCGCTTTAAATAAGATTTCACGGTCAGTAACTGAAAAAAAAAGTTGCTCAGATGATGACATTTTGCTACACAATTTAAAGAGGTCACTATAAAGCAAGCTGTGTGCAACTGAAGCTTAGAGGGAAAATATTGTTTTTTTGTATCTCTGTCTTCACATATTTTGAACCCCTCAATTTCACATTACCAATATCATCAATGTTGTGTCACATTTCTCAATTTAATTTTCATGATTTCAAAAACATATTTATTTTAACACCTGTTGTATTGAATTGGCAGTGGCTCAGCTGTGATGCAAGATGGCACTACTGTAAAGAATGGATACTTACTGGATTTGGACACCATTAGTGTAAATTCCCGTATCGGTATGATGAGAGCACTGGATGGATCATTACACTACTTTGTGGATGGTGTAGACATGGGAGTAGCTTGTACGGATATCGCAGAAAGTAAGAAATCATACATGGATTGGCAATGTTCATTTTCACATGTTTGAATTTCAGAAATCAAGGTTGATGTAGCTAGAAAGATAGAACTGTGACATTTTAATTACTAGTAACCATTAAAATGTTACATTTCTATTCAAGCTGATGAATAAACTGATTATTCTTTGCTACAACCAAGAATTTACTGGGAAAGTAAAATGTACACGTTACATGTACCTGAAAACATACCCTGGAATAAAAATTCTTTTGAATTGTGATTAAGAACAGTAGGAACAAGTCAATTTAACCTTTTCACCAGTTCCCTCTTTTTATCACAAATTCACAAAATAGTCCTGTTTATAGTCGACACTTTTCTTCAGAAGATTGGGACAAAAATAGCCAAATTGTTTTTGTAAAAACTGAAAATATTAGGGGTCATTTCCAAATATATTGTAGAATATAAGAAAAAGTGCAGAAAAAATTGGGCAAGGATGTCAGATGGTAAAAAGGTCAACCTCTCATAGTGCATCTTATAATCCAAGACTTGTCCTTGAAATTATGAAAGAAATATTTGATTTTTTGAAGAGTATCTAGACATTCAAGTCAATAGTCTAGACAATGCTCTCTGTGAATGTTATGCCTTGTAAATAATTGTGGTTGATTTTGGACAAACAAAAAGTGGACATAAATGAAAAAGGTTCATATTTACAAATATGCACGAAGTACTGTTTTAATTTCTCTCTTTTTGCTGATAAGTGAAATCTGCTAAATAAAGTCCGGTGGTCATCACACCATGTTCTGTTCGATATGGGACTTCGATATATACACAACGCCTGTAAAATACATTGTTTGTTTACAAGAAATTCGAACACGTGCTGCGCGTCGACCACCACCCTTTAAACCCAATGAATATTAAAATAGTGAAATTAAATGCCAGTGGAAAAAAAATGGTTTTACAGTATAATATGACAATGTACAAGACCCATCCTTGACTTACTTGGTGGGTGTTTATTTGTTTATTTCTAGATGTGTATGCTGTTATTGATCTGTACGGACAATGTTCCCAAGCAACTATTGTCCAGTCAACAATTAGAGACAATCACACTCTCTCCAACAGTAGCAATGCACTGTTAATAGAACATCCAATACCAAGTGTTCATCGGGTGAGTAATCAACATTTTCTCATCTTTGTGTCACATCTAGAGTATCTTCTGTTGAATGATCTTGGCCCAGCCTTGTATTTGATATGGAATCCATAGCAATATATACAACGCATGTAACATACAATGTTTTGTTACACGACAGTGACGAAATTCAAACATTCACTGTGCGATGACCATTTTTCACCGTATGTAAGTTCTCATTATCATAAGGAAAGCTATTCATGTGGATGCAGTAAAGAGTATCACAACATGCAAGTTCAGACAAACTAACAATGAATTTGTTGTTAATACTGTAATACATTTTTTACTCCGAATGCTGCATGCATGTTGTGTATCTTTTGCCTGCATGTGGTAATTTATTGAGACATTAATAGCCAAAAATGCTACCTGAAATTGTTATTCCCCGTTCAGACTGCGTCCAGAAATGACTTATGGATTGACCTCCATGCAAGTTCCCACCTCTATATCAGACATGCCTTGCTGATCATATTCAAAGATTACATATGATAAATCATTTTCGATGATGTCTAATAATCTGCTTTAATTATTATATTTATCTTCAATTCACATATATTTTGTAGGAATTCTCCACAAGTTCCATCAGTATTGTGGTAAAAATATTTCCATTCGTAGCAGCGGATGCTCAGCATATAGAATACGTAGTTTTAATCATGGTATTATATTCAGCTCAAGACCATTGAAAACAGGAGAATTATTTGAGGTAGGTGAGATGTTAGGTCAATGCCAAACCACGTACAAGATTTTTTGTCTGATTGGCTACCCAATCGCTATACCCACCAGTCAGACCAATCAGAGAGCAGTTTTTCTGTTGACAGTTTTTTCCACATATTAAATTCTGCCTTGTATGTGATTCAACTCATCTGAGATGTTGACAAATGACATTGTGTTGTCACTTCCTGTTTGATGACACTTTTCTCCATGTGGTAGGATGTTGATCTATTGTCTTCTGATGCCATTTCTTATTTGTTTTATACAAAGTGTTCAGACAGGTTTCCAGTTTGCATAGGGTTGGGTTTAGACAGGTTCCCAGTTTACACAGGGTTAGGTTTAGACAGGTTTCCAGTTTACACAGGGTTGGGTTTAGACAGGTTTCCAGTTTGCATAGGGTTGGGTTTAGATAGGTTCCCAGTTTACACAGGGTAAGGTTTAGACAGGTTTCCAGTTTACACAGGGTTGAGTTTAGACAGGTTTCCAGTTTACATAGGGTTGAGTTTAGACAGGTTTCCAGTTTACAGAGGGTTAGATTTAGACAGGTTCTCAATTTACACAGGGTTTGGTTTAGGAAGGTTTCCATTTTACATAGGGTTAAGTTTAGACAGGTTTCTAGTTTACAGAGGGTTAGATTTAGTCAGGTTCTCAATTTACACAGGGTTGGGTTTAGACAGGTTTCCAGTTTGCTCATTGTTGGGTTTAGACAGGTTTTCAGTTTGCACAGAGTTAGGTTTAGACAGGTTTCCAGTTTGCTCATTGTTGGGTTTAGACAGGTATCCATTTTGCTCATTGCACAGGGTTAGGTTTACAAAGAGTTAGGTTTAGACAGGATTGTAGTTTACATGTTTCGGCTTAGACATGCTTACTGTGTTTCCAATATGGCTGCCTTACATTCTCTTGTGATAAGGTATTATATTTCATTTCAGGTTAAAGTTGAACAAGTAAGTAAGAGATGGTCTGGGTCACTACAGATTGGCCTCACAACATTTGTACCATCAGAAGCACTTCCAGTGAACAGTCTACCTCCAGCAGCCAGTGAACTGAGGACCAATAGGAATACATGGCTCATGCAAGGATCTGAAGTACTAGAAAATGGTGTCTCATTGAAAGAGAATTATGCAACTACCTTGGATAGGCTGGAGGTTAGTTAATATGGGTCAACCTTTTCACCACCAGACTTTCGCGGCCAAATTTGTCTGCACTTTTTTTTTGTATTTTTCAATTTTGGAGCCAACAGACAAAATTTTGATAAATTCAGCTATTTTTGTCCCAATTTTCTGAAGGATAGTGCAGACTAAAAACGGGACTATTTTATGGATTTGTGATGAATTGAGGGAACTGGTGGTGAAAAGGTTAGTTAGGTCCTGTTAACCATCATAAAATGCATATTGGTTTATGTCATCATTACAAACCACTGACATGACATACATCTTCAACTCATTTTATATAGTGACAGTGGAATCAGCTTAATACATTGTTATTGTTATTGTATTCTGACATTTTTTGTTGTCTACCTTTCTTCCATAGATCGGTAATACTGTTGGTGTCAAACGTTGCTCTGATGACACCATGCATGTTGTTATCAATGGTGAAGATAAAGGTATTGCAGCTTCTAACATACCAAAGGTAAGAATCAATGAAATGTACTGCAGCCATTCATATGATATTGTGCATATTGATTATTTTCAGAGAAATCCAAATCTCCATCAGTTGTATATTGTGTATATTTTGTTTTCAGGGTTCCTATGCTATAATAGATCTATACGGTACAACAGAAGGTGTTACGATCACAAGCTCAGCGGTTGAATATCCAGATTCATCAAGAGCACCCTCAATAGCTTCCGATTTATCAGACGAAATAGAGGTACAAATAAAGTTATGTTGTCTTTCATGTAAAGATGAGTCCATCTGTTTTAGTGAAGTCAGTTGATTTAAATTGTTCAATGAATTTTTGATGCTCAGTGGTTACAATTTATCTTTCTTTCCTAGATTGAGGTATAGTTGTTGTGCTCATCATAAAGTATTTTCTTGCAATTACAATTTTTATCGCTATTAAAATTTTTACTAAATTCAAGATTGTGTAATATATTATGGTTTTAGAGATTCAATACAATTGAGTAGCATTACATGTCCATCTCTACTGCAAGTGTGGATTTTTCAGATTGGGTGTCATCGCTTGTCGAAACCAGCAAGTCTGGGTAGGACCATCTGTTTAGGCAGAGGTAGGCAGGAAATTAGTGCTGCCTGAATAGTTTTACTCTTGACCCATTTCATATGTTGTTTTTGGTATTTAAGATGTATCAGTAGTATAGCAACCATTTAAAGTTGGTTGCTATGGATATACCGGTATTATTGTAGGGTGGGACCCCCACCACATACACACATAGTTATAACAATATTTTATGTTTAAACACAGACCTTATAAGGTCTAGTTAACTTGTGTATGCAATCATGAATAAACATGTCATTGTGTTATAGGAAATAAATGGTCACATGGAGAGTGTACAGGAACCTGTATGTATAGAATTTCAAGAGAACCATGGCAAGAATATTCAATTATGCAATGGTAACCTAACAGCATGTCGTACTGCTAGTTATAACCAAGGTGTGGTTGTTAGCAGTAAACCTCTACCAATAATGCAACGATTTCAGGTTTGTCAATATTACTCTATTTAGGTCCTAGACACTGAGTGTCACTGTATTTACCTTGGCTGTAATGTGAATGAAAGGAAAGGTAAATAATGGGGAAAATGTAGGAATTTTTGTTGTTCCCATT